CCCCAGAGCCAGGCGGGAGGGGGACCCTGAGGGTGGGATCACCCTCAGGGCACTATAGTGCCAGGAAAACGAGTATGTTTTCCTGGCACTATAGTGGTCCTTTAATAAAGAAAATAAAACACAATGAGTACTTGGTGTCAGGATTACTAATTGATCCAGCACGTAGAACTGTATCACACCTAGGACTAAGATGTAAGACCCGGTAAGACGTCTTACCGGGCCTTAGAATGGCCGGACTTAACATACCAGAGAATAGTCAGAATACTTGCTGAGGTCAGGGACACAGAATGAGACACAACGATGAGGGAAAGATAACAGTCAGGGATACCAGAATACAGGGAAGTCAAAACTAAGCCAAAGTCAATAACCAGAAATAAACGCTCAGGAACAAACTCTCGGACAACCACTAAGGGAAACCACGACAGGGCAATGAGGAGAAGGAAAAATGTGTTTAAATAAGCCTTTTACAAATCTGATTGGCCTAAATCGGCTTTTGATCCCAGAACGTGTGCGCGCTTCTCCCGTGTGACGTCATATGCACGCTGACATCATCAACATCGTGGGCGGAAGTGGGGCTATAATTTAACGTGGATGGCCAGCAGCCACCAACATGCTGCAGGAGTCAGGTATACTGACGCACGGCCACTGAGCGCAGATACAGCAAGGTGAGGCTCATAGTGAATAAAGTATAGAAAATAAAACTCACTGAGTACTTGGCTCCTACTGAGTAAAGTTTAGAAAATAAAACTCAGTTAGTAATTGGCTCTAGAGCAACATTCTATCTTATTATTGGAAAAGAGCTATTATATAGACTACCAACAGTTTTATTGCATTTCTGTGAAGCAGCCGTATCTTTTTAAAATATTAGTTTTAATAATTTAGGGTGAACTCAAACCTAAATCCATCTTCCAGTTCACAAATTCCTGTTACTCATTTATCCAAAAACAACAAAATGCTTTTTTTTTCTCTCCATATTTTACTAAAAATAAAACCAGTCCTTCTGGACTCCAAATGAGATTTTCCCTGGATCAACAAACCATTAATAATAATATAAGTCAGCTTTTATAGTTTAGAGTTTCTAAAATAAAACCCAAATAAACCGTTCTTTTCTAAAGGTGTGTCTTAATTTTGACTGAATCGCATATTTGTATTGTTCTTGTTCTTGTGCCTAAAAGAATATAAGAAAAAGGAAGCAGTGTTCTGGTACCTAATTAACATTTAATTGTGAACAATTCATTAGCTAATGAAGCAGAATATACAAAGTATCTCACTATGATAGGTACGAATGGTATGATACAAAATGTGTTTGTGTGGCCTCAATACACTGTGTACATTAGCAAAGAAATAGAAAAATACATTAAAAAAATATAAATTGTCCTTGTGATTAAAGTCAGATGCTAGCTCAAATCGAAACCTACATTTTCTCCCATAAAAAACAAAATCTACCCTATAAAAACGTGGCACAGAATCACAACATTGAAATATAACTTTGCCTTCTTTTAAGTTCTTGTTAAGCTTTTGCGTTTAACATGGCGTACGATCTTGGGCAAGAGTACATAAAAAAGTTATTATGGAATTGGAAATGGTTCTAAGGGAGACAACAAAATTCATTAAAGAAATGGAAGATTTTAGCAAAGCGGACAGGGCGTCCAAATGAGATCCGTCTACTGTGGAAAAAACGTCTCCTACCGAGAGATATCATAAATAAATAGAAGAATGTTCGAAGTAGATACATAAAACATTCTGTAAACACACACATTGACAGAGTGCTTTACCAGGGCATTACTTCAGAGGAATGGAGATTCACTTAGAACACAGGTATCTGCGCGTACAGAAAGAGCAGTTAAGATATAGAATTCTGTTCCTTTTGAAGTGATATTTTTTGACTGTGTTTTGGGCAACACTAATAGTAGAAAGCTATGATGAGGGAATTAAATATGGGTAGCATTTGCCACAATTTGAATCATGCATGTTTGCTTTATGTCAGAAAGAAACTAGATTAAATGTAGAATTATAAGGCTCTGGCTGTGTGCTGAGGTAGAGATCCCATGAGTAGGATTATCACCAAAGAAGACCGGTGGGAATACCTCCTGGGAACTAAAAAGAGCAAAAAAGAAGGAAAAAAGGCAGATATGTGTAACTGATTCTAGTGACCGGGGGTAGGCAAGGTATCATCATAGTCCAGTCCTGTCCGAGGGTTTGGGAGATGTTTGGAACGGATACTAGTGATCGGGGGTAGGCAAGGTATCATCATAGTCCAGTCCTGTCCAAGGGTTTGGGAGATGTTTGGAACGGATTCTAGTGATCCAGGGTAGGCAAGGTATTATCATAGTCCAGTCCTGTCTGAGGGTTTGGGAGATGTTTGGAATGGATTCTAGTGATCCATGGTAGGCAAGGTATCATCATAGTCCAGTCCTGTCCGAGGGTTTGGGAGATGTTTGGAACGGATTCTAGTGATCCATGGTAGGCAAGGTATCATCATAGTCCAGTACTGTCCGAGGGTTTGGGAGATGTTTGGAACGGATACTAGTGATCCAGGGTAGGCAAGGTATCATCATAGTCCAGTCCTGTCTGAGGGTTTGGGAGATGTTTGGAACGGATTCTAGTGATCCAGGGTAGGCAAGGTATCATCATAGTCCAGTCCTGTCTGAGGGTTTGGGAGATGTTTGGAACGGATCTAGTGATCCAGGGTAGGCAAGGTATCATCATAGTCCAGTCCTGTCGAGGGTTTGGGAGATGTTTGGAACGGATTCTAGTGATCCAGGGTAGGCAAGGTATCATCATAGTCCAGTCCTGTCTGAGGGTTTGGGAGATGTTTGGAACGGATTCTAGTGATCCAGGGTAGGCAAGGTATCATCATAGTCCAGTCCTGTCTGAGGGTTTGGGAGATGTTTGGAATGGATACTAGTGATCCAGGGTAGGCAAGGTATTATCATAGTCCAGTCCTGTCTGAGGGTTTG